CGTTTCGCCGTCTTCATCTCCAGTTCGCTCGTTGTCGCTCGTTGTCGCTCGCTGTCGTCGTCGTCGCTGTCCTTCTCCTTCACACCTGCGACTGTGGCTGCTGCGCTTCCGCCGTCCTCGCCACCAAACGACCGCATACCACACGCGTCAATCCCCGCCGTCCACGCGACCTCTGGCCCTGCTTCACACACGATCTCGCTGCCTTTCCTGGTCTGGTCCGCTATTCTAACAGGCCTTCTTCACTGTATCGCAATCGCACTCACCATATTGTATCGGACAACACATGCGGTCGACATAAAACTGCGCTTCGAGGCCCCTAGTGCAAATCGCTCTTACCCAGGCCTGGTCCAGCCGCTCGCACCCTGTCGGCCATGGACAGGCACAACCCGCCGCAGATCAGGCTGAACTCGGGCGCCGGCGACATCCTCCATATCAACACAGACGTAGGCGCAGACTCACGTCCACACCTTGCCACACGGCAACCTTCATCGCGATCACTCACACAGCCTGGCCGGTCTGGCACCGCGCAGTCATTGCGAAATGCCGTGAGCGGAAACTCCTTGTATTCCTCCGCTGCTCCAGCGGAGTCGGCAGAACTATTGCTACCCCCGCGCAAGAGCAAGACACGACGATTTCGAGATGATGACAGCCCTATGCGATCGCCCTCAGAGAGTGGCTTCAATAGTAGGAGAACATCGTGGTCTTCGGAGAGCGCTGGGAGTCGAGATAGCAGATATGGAGGGCCTTTCATCTCGCCTTTCGATGACTCGAGAGCACCGAGCAGAGCAGGTAGTGATGAGGGGGTGAATACTCAGACCGTGAGCGAAAAGTTCAACATCCTCCCGGGGGCCGGGCTGTTACTGTTCCCCGAGGACGTGGAAAAGGACGATTATTTGCACAATCCAGACCCAAACGATAAGGATGACAGGCTCAGGTGCTCCGACTTGCTTCACAGAAGAGGTGCCGTCAACTTGGGCGGGCTGGCATTAATCACCATTGGGATATTGATCCTGTTCATCGGATATCCAATTTTGTGCGCATCTCTTTTACAGCTCCGAGCATGTGCTGTCGCTAACATCGTCTAGGACATTCGTACAGAGCAAGCTGGAACCGCAGGGGACCTCATGCTCCAAAGACCCGCTGTGTATCTCAGACAAGGAGCCTTATCTGAAAAACGTGCGGAGGGGTCTCATAGATCCGGACACCCCAGAAAGTGCGAAGACTCGCAAAGGTGATAACGGCAAGGAGCAGCAACTCGTCTTTAGTGACGAATTCAATGACAACGGCCGCACATTCTACGACGAAGACGACCCGTACTTCCAAGCCATGGACTTTTGGTACGGTGTGACCATGGACCTCGAATGGTACGATCCCGACGCTGTGACCACCGGAAATGGCACACTCAACCTCAAGTTCGACGCTTTCCAAAATCACAACCTGAACTATCGATCGGGCATGTTGCAGTCGTGGAACAAACTCTGCTTCAAAGGTGGTTATTTGGAAGCTTCCATATCTCTGCCAGGACGCGGCGATACGATCGGGTTTTGGCCAGGTTTCTGGGCCATGGGAAACTTGGGCAGGCCCGGTTACGCTGCAACAACAGACGGGATGTGGCCATACAGCTATCACGATGAATGCGATGTGGGCATTACCCCAAATCAATCCGATCCAGATGGGCTTAATTACCTTCCTGGAATGAGGTTGCCCGCGTGCACTTGCAGCGGCGAAGACCATCCCTCTCCCGGCAGGAGTCGAAGTGCTCCAGAGATCGATGCCATCGAAGCATCTGTTGAGTACTTGGATCCTCCAGCAGGAGCTGCCATCGGTGCTGCTTCTCAATCTTTCCAAGTGGCGCCATTTGACCTGTTCTATCAGCCCCAGTCGGATTGGATGGAGATCTACGACTATCGCATCACCGAAGCGAACGCGTACCAAGGAGGACCATATCAAGAGGCCATCTCGGCTCTTACTGCGCTGAACAATAAATGGTACGATGGAAATGCATACCAAATCTATGCATTCGAATACGAGCCTGGCGCAGATGGATATATCACCTGGTATGTGGGCGATGAGCCCACATGGAAGATCGAAGGCAATTCCGTTGGGCCTAATGGCAATATTGGCCAAAGAGTGATCCCAGAGGAGCCCATGACAATCATCGCGAACTTTGGAATGAGTAACAGTTTCTCCGCCGTCAATCTTACTGGTCTGGCCAAATTGTTCCCTGCCACGATGAGAATTGACTACATTCGCATCTATCAGAACGAAGGCGATGAGATGACTTGCGATCCTGTTGGGTATCCGACCACGGAGTACATCAAAAACCATCCGGAACCATATGTCAACATCAACATCACGCATTGGGAGCAGGCCGACTACGATTTCCCAAAGAACTCCTTCATGCACGGCTGCAAGGCAGAGACTAGCAAACCAAAAGAGAAGAAACCTAAACGGTCTCACGAGTCAAGTTCGGCACAATGGAGGAGTAAATGGCTTTGGAGCTGAGGGAATCTCATGACGTGAGCTCAGAATTACGCGACCACGGCCTGGAGAGACTAATGACTGGAGCGCAACATTACTAACTTGCATTGCATTGCATCTATCAGCGGCATTGTAATCTTCTTTCCTGGAGCAGCACCTCGGCAACAGCAGACCGCTTTGGAATGTCCGAAGGGCCTGCTCGGGACACGTACCGCCGCATCCTGGTGTTGACTGTACGATTATGCATCTTTGGTTGCTTCATTGTGGATATCATTCGGCGAAGGCGCTTTCAAAAAGAATTTCGGATTTTTGATGCATGGCATGAGAGGGCTCGAGGCGTTTGGCAAGCAGGGACTTGGGATCAGGGAGGGCATGAAAATGAGGAACATGTCCACAGCAATGAGCATTTTCACACGGGAGCCTTTATACTAGATTCTTGGATTCATCACAGTTGAAGGGAAATGGAATCGTACGAGGGATCTGAATGCACATAATGAAGGATCAGATGATGGACGAAGATACTGTACTTGGCTCGTAGAATGTGGTCAAAGCCGGGTAGCTGCATCACGGAGAAATGCATGATCTTCCATTTCATGTGCACGTCGATGGTCTATGTCCACGCGAGGTAATCCAACAAGTCTCAGCGGAAGGACGACGCGCCATTTCAGGACTGAGCGCTGCGACGTCGAATTGCGTGGTTCTCGCCCGCTACACAGGTCATGCAGCTTCTACTTCGTGCATCCTTCGAATAGCAGAGCAGGCAAGCTTGAGCTCGAGCTTCTCCTCCACAACGCTTCACTTCTCGCTCCAGCGATCAACCTTGAAGCTACCTAACCAACCACCATCATGTCTTCCGGTCGTCTATTGAATCGTGTAGCGATAGTGACAGGTGCATCATCTGGCCTAGGCCGTGCAATCGCACTTCAACTCGCTGCGGAAGGGGCCAAAATCTGCTGCGTCGACCTCTATGAGAATCCGCGCAACAAGACCAATGCTGCTACCGGAAAAGCGGACGACTTCAACAATCGTACTGATGGAGAGACGACACTCCAGGAATTGCATCGATTGCATGGTGAAGAGAGGGCGGTCTTCGTTCATGCAAATATGACTAAGGCTGAAGAGGTAGAACATATGGTGACTCAATGTGAGATTTGCATTCCACGGCACCAGAACTCAACACGTTCTCTGATGAATCGTTCTCCTAGGCGTCAAGAAATACGGCCGCATCGATATCATATGCAACGTGAGCCTTCTCAGCCGACCTACAGCCCAATTCCTCTCACTAACAATCGCCATTCAAACAGAACGCCGGCATCTCAGTCGAATCAACCCACCCAACCCCCCTCCCAATCCACCTCCTCCCCGAATCCGACTGGGACCTAACAATGCTCATCAACGTCAAATCCATCTTCCTCGGCTCAAAATACGTCCTAACACAAATGCTCTCCCAACAACCCCTCCCTAATACCACCTCCCTTGGCTGGATAATCAACACCGCCTCCATCCAAGCCCTAGTAGCCTACCACAACACCCCAGCCTACTGCGCCTCCAAAGGCGCCGTAGCCCAACTAACAAAACAAATCGCATTAGATTACGCACCACATAAAATCCATGTGAATTCGATTTGTCCTGGATTCTTAAAAACGGCTATGACGCAGAATTTGCAGAACAGTCCGATTAAAAAGGAGGCGATTGATAAGGCGCATCCGTTTGGTGGGATGGGGAGAGTGGAAGATGTGGCGAAAGCGGTGCTGTTTCTTGCGAGTGATGATTGTGGTGAGTTTTTTTTTGTGTTTTCGTATTCCCTCGTTACTTCTATTCAATTTTTGGTTTGGACTTTTTGGCTCTGACTGAATTCGATTAGCTTGGGTTACGGGGGTGAATTTGCCTGTCGATGGGGGGTATATGATTACTTGAGAGAGGAACGGTGGTGGTGGTGTTCAAAAGATCTGATGAATTCAGGAAGTTCTTTGATTTCATTCACCAGCTTTGGGTTCAAAACCAATATGCCAAGCTCCATTGCCGTCCTGTGCACTGGATAAAGTCTCTCTTTTCAGCCTCACTCATTAGCAAGCATGTCCCTGGAACCCAGTCTCGAACGACTATCTCCGAGCCTCAAGAACGCGTAACCTCAGCTGCTCCTCTACAGTCTCCAGGTGCTTCCGCCACTGGCAGATTCTTGCTCTGCTTCGCCTTCAACGAGTCGTAGAGTTTCCTCCAAAACCAAAAAGTCGCGTTCCATCATCTCAGCCCAATTCTGCAAATCGCCGAATTCGTTGAGGCCTTTGGTGGTCTTGTCGAGGTCTTTTTGCCACTTGGCGCTTTCTTTGGCAAGCGCAGCAGTCTGCTTCTTTAATTCTGCTTCTTGCTTGGCAATAGCAGTGGCGTTGGCGTGGATATCGGCTGCTCGACGCTGAAATTGGCTGTCGTAGTTTGAGCCAGCAGATTCAAGCGATGCGACGACTGCTGCACGAGCTTCTTCTTGCGCTCGGGAGCTATCGCTAGCCACGGCTGTGGAAGAAGCGGTGGAGCTCGACGCCATGGTTGTAGACATTGTAGTTGCTGGATTGGGCCTGGTGCGCTCTGCGTTACGGTTGTGCGATGATAGTCCGTGATAATCTTCAATCTGGCAGATCCTAAAGTCCAAGAGCGGAGCTATTCTGAAGGTACATGATTCCATCCGCCAGCTCATCGGGTCGTGGGCAGTAGTGGATCCTGCCCAGCTTCTCATCTGACCTCGCAGGTGGTACCAGTCAGCTGGACGGCGCTGCTAGAGCAGCCGTCCGGCACCTGTAGGAGGACGAAAAGGAGCTCTGACTGGCTGGAATACCCTCCGGGCCAGCATGCTGAACGGCAACGGCCAAAGCAGTGGTCGAGGTCGTGCAAGAATCGGCGCAGCTCTGACGTGTTCACTGAGGTACCTGCGCTAGCTTGAGAGGTCTCGCTCTTCTAGAGACTGTCACATATATCGACTTGGTGGTGAATCCAGCATAAGTACTCGTTGCGAGTGGAGATACCGCACGACCTACCTATGAGCGAATGTCGACCAGGGCTTGTCAGTGCCAGGCATGCGATGAGCTCGTGATCGGTCGTAAATGTCTCGTGAGCGGTCTAGATGTGGCAATGCTCAGTGCAGATGGCAGTGTATTGATACGACCGTGAAGTAGAGCAATGGCTTTTCCATGGAGCACAGCGGGAGATCCTGGAGCTTTTCTCCGTCTCGCTGACAGCTCAGTTGATAGTGAGGCGGTATGGGAGGTATGGAGGATGCCTGTGTGCTGCATATTCATCCCACACATACCTTGGCCGAGGATGGGGCTAGTCGGAGACCACCGACAGCAGCGAAATGCACTGGCGGGTCGTGGGTGCTCATCGACGGCACTCGACGCTCAGCGGGAGAGCGGGTGAGCATCAAGAATGACTCCGACAATGGACGTACAGTACTCGGTGAGGGTTGCTGCTGTCCAGAATCGGCGGCGAGGAACGATGGCAGACCCTGCGCGGCGGGTGTCGCGAGCCGAGCAGCTCCACTCTGGCACGCATCGCATGTCGCCGCCGTCCTGGGAACCGCGAGCGAGCGCTGCATGCAACGCGTGTGGATGCGATAGGCGTCGTCCACAGCCCACCAAGATTCGCTGATGATTGTTGCAGGTGAGAGAGCAACATTTCCTTGTCTTTCCCCAAACTCTCCCGTGCTCTCCTTGGTCTCCCTTCGACAAACGGCGAGCTGCCTTATCGCCACCACTCACTCCAGTCCATGACAAGCACAGCACCGTGAGCTGCTCCTTACGACAAACACCTCAGCAGCGGCGGGCAGACCATGGCGCCCGGCCTGGTCGAACCGCAGCCAGCAGTGGAGCCTGCTGCCCAGCGATCGCTGTCCTCCACCACCGAGCACTACGACGATACCCTGCGATTCTACCTCAATGGGACCAAGGTCACGCTCGATGAGGCCGATCCGGAAGTGACTCTGTTGGAATATCTGCGAGGCGTGGGCTTGACGGGGACAAAGTTGGGCTGTGCTGAGGGAGGCTGCGGAGCCTGCACTGTTGTCGTTTCGCAGTACAATCCAACAACGAAGAAGATATATCATGCTTCGGTCAATGCGTGCCTCGCCCCGCTAGTCTCGGTGGACGGCAAGCATGTCATCACCGTTGAGGGCATTGGCTCGGTGAAGAAGCCACATCCTGCGCAGGAGCGGATAGCAAAGGGCAATGGCAGCCAGTGCGGCTTTTGTACGCCCGGCATTGTCATGAGCTTGTACGCTTTACTTCGTAATAACGAACAACCGTCTGAGATCGAGGTCGAAGAAGCATTCGATGGCAACCTGTGCAGGTGTACGGGCTACAGACCGATTCTCGATGCTGCACAAACCTTCAGCGGCACCTTAGGCTGTGCGAAAGCCCAGGTCAACGGTGGCTCAGGTTGTTGCATGGAGAAGAAAGGCACAAATGGTGCAGGTGGATGCTGCAAATCGGGTGACGCGGGCGATGATCAACCGATCAAGCGCTTCACGCCTCCAGGCTTCATCGAGTACAATTCCAACACCGAGCTAATATTTCCGCCCGCACTCAAGAAACATGAGTATAAGCCATTGGCTTTTGGCAACAAGAGAAAGCGTTGGTATCGTCCAGTGACAGTTCAGCAGCTTTTGGAGATCAAAAGTGTCTATCCTTCGGCCAAGATTATCGGTGGTAGCACAGAAACACAGATCGAGGTGAAGTTCAAGGCTATGCAATACACTGTGTCTGTCTTTGTGGGAGATATTCCAGAACTACGTCAATACGAGTTTCACGATGATCATGTTGAGATTGGTGGCAACATCACCCTCACCGACCTCGAACATCTCTCACTCGAAGCAGCCGAACGTTACGGCGAAAAACGCGGCCAGCCTTTCGTAGCGATCAACAAGCAGATCAAATACTTTGCCGGTCGTCAGATTCGAAATGTCGGAACGCCTGCGGGAAACCTCGCAACAGCATCACCCATTTCCGATCTCAATCCCGTCTTCCTTGGTACAAACGCAACGATAGTTGCAAAGTCGCTTGACCAGACAGTTGAAATCCCGATGACCGAGTTCTTCAAAGCATACAGAGTAACTGCGCTACCACCAGACGCAATCATTGCCAGTATCAAAATACCCGTGTTCCAGGAGAAAGGCGAACACATGCGTGCCTACAAGCAAGCCAAGAGAAAGGACGACGATATTGCGATTGTCAACGCCGCCTTGCGTGTCCATCTTGACGATGAGAACATTGTCAAAAACTCAAGTCTGGTGTATGGAGGCATGGCGCCCATCACTATCGGCGCGAAGAATGCAATGGCATATCTAGAGGGCAAGAAATTCGCCGACCCAGCAACGCTCGAAGGTGTCATGAATGCACTCGAGCAGGACTTCGATCTTCGATTTGGCGTGCCAGGAGGCATGGCAACCTACCGCAAATCACTTGCACTCGGCTTCTTTTACAAGTTCTACCACGAGGTTTTGGCTGCATTGAATCCGGCAGATGCTGAGCTTGACCAAGATTGCATTCCCGAAATCGAACGCGAGATCTCCAGGGGCCAGAAGGATCATACTGCTGGCAAAGCTTACGAGCAAAACATATTGGGTAAAGAGAAGGAACATGTTGCTGCACTGAAGCAGTCTACTGGCGAAGCTCAATATACTGATGATATACCGGTGCAGAAGAATGAATTATATGGATGCCTGCTGCTTAGCTCCAAGGCTCACGCGAAGATCGTCAGCATCGACACCTCTGCGGCGCTCGAGCTGCCAGGTGTCGTTGACTATGTTGATCATCGAGATCTTCCGAATCCAGAGGCCAACTACTGGGGTGCTCCCAATTGTGACGAGACATTTTTTGCTCTAGACGAAGTATTTACAGCCGGCCAGCCGATAGGAATGGTCCTAGCCACTTCGGCGAAGCGTGCTGAAGCGGGCATGCGAGCGGTATGGGTGGAGTACGAAGAGCTACCCGCCATATTCACAATGGAGGAAGCGATCGCTGCCAACAGCTTTTATGATCACTATCACTGGATCAAGAATGGAGATGTTGACAAGGCTTTCGCAGAGGCTGATCACGTCTTCAGTGGTGTTGCTCGCATGGGTGGCCAGGAGCATTTCTATCTCGAAACGAATGCTTGTGTGGCAGTGCCGAAACCCGAAGATGGCGAGATGGAGATTTTTAGCTCAACACAGAATCCCACAGAAACACAAGCATACGTCGCTCAGGTTACTGGAGTAGCTGCAAACAAGATTGTGACCCGAGTCAAGCGTCTGGGAGGCGGCTTCGGTGGAAAAGAAACACGTTCAATACAGCTCGCTGGTATCTGTGCCACGGCAGCGAAGAAGACTGGTCGGCCTGTGCGATGTATGCTCAATCGCGATGAAGACATCATGACTTCCGGTCAACGGCATCCGTTTCTATCACATTGGAAGATCGCTGTCAGCAAAGATGGCAAGCTGCAAGCGCTCGACGCCGACGTTTACAATAATGGTGGCTGGACGCAAGATCTGAGTGCCGCTGTGGTCGATCGTGCTCTGAGCCACGTTGACGGGGTGTACAACTTCCCGAATGTCTTTGTGCGTGGGCGCATCTGCAAGACGAATACCGTATCGAATTCTGCATTCCGAGGCTTCGGTGGACCTCAGGGCATGTTCATCGTCGAGACTGCCATGGAGGAAGTGGCGGATCGTCTGCAGATTCCAGTCGAGAAGTTACGAGAGATGAACATGTACAAAGCGGGAGAGAAGACACATTTCAGACAAGAGCTGAAAGACTGGTATGTGCCACTAATGTGGAAGCAAGTACGTGAAGAGTCGGAATGGGAACGTCGCAAACAAGAAGTTGCCGCTTTCAACGAGAAGAGCAAGTGGAAGAAACGTGGACTGGCTCTCATTCCCACCAAATTCGGCATCTCCTTCACTGCGCTCTTCCTCAATCAAGCCGGTGCTCTGGTACACATCTATCATGACGGCAGTGTCCTCGTGGCACATGGCGGTACAGAAATGGGTCAAGGTCTACACACAAAGATGACCATGATCGCCGCGGAAGCTCTGGGCGTACCTCTAGACAACGTCTTCATCTCCGAGACAGCCACCAACACCGTCGCCAACACCTCTTCCACCGCAGCATCAGCATCCTCCGACCTAAACGGCTACGCCATCTGGAACGCCTGTCAACAACTCAACTCACGCCTCGCCCCCTACCGCGAAAAATTCGGCAAAGACGCCACAATGAAACAACTAGCTCACGCAGCCTACTTCGACCGCGTCAACCTCTCCGCCAACGGCTTCTACAAAACCCCCGACATCGGCTACGTCTGGGGCGACACCACCAGCGAACAAACTCACATGTTCTTCTACTTCACTCAAGGCGTCGCAGCCGCAGAAGTCGAAATCGACACTTTAACCGGTGATTGGACGTGTCGAAGAGCAGATATCAAAATGGATGTTGGTCGCTCTATTAATCCCGCAATCGATTATGGGCAAATCGAAGGGGCTTTCGTACAAGGTATGGGATTATTCACAATTGAAGAATCTCTATGGCATCGTGCCAGTGGACAGATTTTCACGAGGGGACCTGGAGCGTATAAGATTCCCGGGTTTAGGGATATTCCGCAGGAGTTTAATGTTAGTTTGTTGAAGGACGTGAATTGGGAGAACCTGAGGACGATTCAGAGGTCGAGGGGGGTGGGGGAGCCTCCGCTTTTTATGGGTTCTGCGGTGTTCTTTGCTATACGGGATGCGTTGAAGGCTGCGAGGAAACAGCATGGTTGTGAGGAGGTTTTGAGTCTGATTAGTCCGGCGACGGTTGAGAGGATTAGAGTGTCTTGCGCGGATCCGATTATAAAGAGGGCGGAGGTTAAGCCGCAAGAGGGGGAGAAGAGTTTCTTTATCAATATATGATGGCAATGTACAGTGATGAGCATGATTTATGAGAACGTTCGAGACTTTTCTGCGATTCAAAGCTTCTGTATCTCATGCAACGAGCGTAGGTGTCACCTATACTAGCTCAACTTCTTGTTTCTGCGCTTCACTTTACAAATCAAGCCCGTCTGGCCCACAAACCAAAAATTATGCAACTCTCACTCCTTCTCCGGATCCGTAAGTCCAAAATCAAATTGTCAATAGAATTGAGGAACCAATTTACTCATCTCCAGCAAACTGATATTCTTCCCCACTACTCGTTACCGAATCTCGTTAGCGACGAAAACCACAAAATGCCACCAGAAGCAACAGAGAAAAAAAACAAGAAAGCGGGGAAAAGAATATAAAAGGAGCGAGAAAATTTCCTCACAACACGTCCTCGCCCCAGCCCCAAACGAAAAATCATTCCGGTCCATTAATTTCAATTCCTCAGGAGGAGCTTCCAACCACCTCTCCAGTCGAAATTCATAAACATCAGGTCCATAAACTTTCTCATCGCGTGCCATGATCCAGGGGTTTGCGCCGATGATTGTACCTTCTGGGAGGGAAATCCTAGTATTTTCGATTTCGAAACCTCCGGAAGGAACAACACGTTCGAGTAATAACCCTACAGCGGGATGCATTCGCAACGCTTCGCGAATAACGGCTTGAAGGTATGGAAGATTTTGCGCTTCGGAGAATGTAGCTGGATCGGAGAGTTTTCCATTTCGTTCTGCGGAGTGAGGAGGGTATCGTGAGCGCGGGGGTTACGACAGAGATTGTAGAAGATTGAACGGAGGGATGCGGCGGTTGTGTCGCTGCCTGCGAAGATGTTGCTTGTGGCGTGGCTAAGCATTCGGGAGGAGGAGATGATTTGTTTCGCCGGAGCCTTCTTTGGTAAGTTTGAAGCGGTCGAGCATTTCTTTGAGGGGGACGGTGTTGAAGTCTTAGGCCTCGTAGCGTTGGAGTTGTTTGGCGGCGAAGGCGACGATGTATTTGCTTGTGTTCATGATTCGGAGGGAGGGGGTTAGGTTGGCGAGTTTTGAGACGAGGGTGCTGCCGAAGAGGTATTTGTGAAGGTATCTATCTGGAGGCATTAGTGACCGTAAATTGAGTGTCTCTGATCGGCCGACGAGTTTTGACTCTAGCCGTTGTCACAGTGTTGGCCGTGGCTGCAGCTCGACAGTCCAGAGAAGTAACGGTGGCTACCTCTGAATGCAACTACCTCTGAGTGCAAGCACCCAACCAAATTCGCTCTCGATCCATAAACTGCTTTGCTGATTAGCTTAGCGACCTGGGGTTGCACTCAGAGGTAGTTGCATTCAGAGGTAGACACGGTTACCAGTGTGGTAAGACTGGCGCTCATATACTTACGATGCTTGGCCTATCACGCTGTTAAACATGAGCCGACCTTCAACCGATTCGAGAATCCGATCAATATCACGTTCTTGCTCCATGAATCCAAGAGTGTTCGAAAACGTGATGGACGTTATCGTATCGAAGGCATACCTGAATATCAGATTAGCCATTAATCAACAATGCTCATCACGCATCAATACCAGTGCAACCAAGTCCCAAGATCAATATCCTGCCCAACCAGTCTATTGAACTTCTGCACAACCATTGCCGAACAAGCGTCGTTCATCGGCTCCAACTCCTTCAACGTATTCAAAGCATAAGCGTTCGCGATAGGTCGTCGGATACCTCTGTGCGCCGTGCCTCTCGTTCCGAGAATACCGTGCTCATCATCCCAGTCGGGGTTTTGATATCGAACGGCAGGTAAAAGTTGGATTTCATGAATTTACTGCCAATACCATAGACCTGCGGTATGAGTGCAGCATCGCTGAACATGACATGATTGGGACCGATTCGCACTAACTTTCCATATTTTTTGTGCAATTGGAGATGGTAGTCCATTTGTTTTCCATGGGCGCAGCTTATGACCCTATGGAGGTCGCTGATTGAAGCGAGAAATGGTCCTGGGATGTGCCTCAAGCCTGGTCGAAAACGAATGCGGATAATGTAGACAATGCTGCAAAGTACGATTCCGGCAATAGTGTATGGAAGTAGTGTCCATACGGACGTCTGGTAGAGATTGGAAAGCATATCGCGTGCACCGTCTAGTTGCGGGCAGCAAAGCGGAAAATGGGCAAAACGCTCACTTTGCGATGTCTCTCGCGAACTGCATTTTGTAAGCTGCCTCGCTTGTCGAGACGGAGTGCCTTAGCTGCGATGCACAAGTCAGAGATACGGGATCGAAAGTGCACTCGAGTTTCCCACTCAGAGGGGTACGGAGTTCTCAATCCTGGTTTCTGTTTTGTTTTCCGGCAGTAGACCGTGTAAGCACCGCTAGGACCCTGTCACGATGTCTATCGAATTGCAACTCGTCCAGCGTTCGACAAAATTGTTGCTGTTGACAAGCAGTGCCTGGTATGTGAGCGGGATGGCGCCCCTTTCATGGTTCTCTCTTGTTGGTCGGCACGTGCGGAGCCATTGAGGGGACACGAGGGTCCATTGCTGACTGCAACTGGGCGGGGAGAGCTGTGTTGCTTCGGTAGTTAGGTTTTCAGCAAAGTGCTGATGAAATGGAAGTAGTGGCCATGACGTGACCAGTTTCAATATTGCTCCAACGTCCATGCAGCAGACTCCTTAGCTCTGTGCTTATATTGTGCAAGGATGTTGTCGGTCTGGTGGCACGCACGGTGACGTCGTGAGCAGAAGCAGTACTGTACGCAAAGAACGCCGTGGTCTGGCAATGCTTATCGCAGCAACTAAGTGACAATTGCAACTCCAAAAAATGAGCTGAAAAGAACGGTTTCCATACCTTCTCACAGCCGGTCCATACGCCTGAACTGCAGTCTCCATAGCGGTGCCACCTCTCCAGCCATTTCTCGTCTTTCATTCAACCGTATCCCCTCTGGGCTTGAGCTCCATTGCGGTCCACCATGATATAATCGTTGTTGCTGTGGTAGTGTGGTGATGGCGATTGTGGCAGAGCTCCGGGAATGCTCGCAGCCAGTTTGTCCGTATCTGCTCGCTTTGATGGAGGGCGGTCAGCGGTCGGCGGCCGATCGGCTGGATACGTGGGTTTCTGTGCCAATGGGCTGGGTCTCGTCGCTGCCCCCTCCGAAGTGTGATTGCCGTTCGTGTAGGGCTTTGAATCGGCATTGTCGCCTCGAGGTGCTGGCGAGCTTTGTCGCGACACCTTGGCCAAGCGCTGTTCGGTCTCGCGAAGTCGGGCTTCGAGCTCTTGCAATTGCTGCTGTCCCGAGCTGACTGTGTATTTCCTGTCGCTAGTCTTAGCGGAGCTCAGGCAGGAGCAGAGCTGATCAGGCATACTTTTCCTCAATCGTCCTTGACAAGTCGTCGACTTCCCCTAAGCCAAACATCGAGTCCAGGTCGGCAGCGAAGTTCTGCGCAATGGTGCTGCGAAGCGGTCAGTATCGCCTGCTGCGCAAGAGGAGCTCTACAGCACCTACGATTCGGGACGAGGGCGCGAAACCCGCTTGGGCTGCTGCTCCTCTTCCGCCATGTTGTGGGATTGAAGATGCGCAAAGGGTTCGAGTGGTGGTGCTGCTTCTGCTACTACTGCTACGGGTTCTGCGCCTGCCTCTTGGCTAGGAGACGGTGGGCGGGCGACAACGGGGTGGGTGACAAGGAGGCACACGAGCAGAGGGTCGGCGCGTTGGGCGTACGGGCAACACTGGTGGTTTAATTGACAATTCCAGTAGCAAGAGATCTACGGTGACGATCCGCACCGCAGGGGAGGTTTGGGTAGGGAGTTGTCTCGGCTGCACTTTGTAACGCAAGGGCCTCTTTGCCGGAGACACTACGCTGTGACAGCCTGCCCGCGGCGTTGGTCGAGTGTCGTCAACAGGAGTAGCAGATAGCAGACAGTCAGCCGATTGCCGCGATGCCGTTGTTGGTGACGAACGCTGCTGTTGTTGGTTGTCTCGCGGTTGTCCGTGTCAATGCCGCTCCGCAACGCGCTGCCCGCAGCAGCAGCAGAAGGCAACGCGCGACCAACGCCTTGAGGCGCGCCGGCCTTGGCACTCTCAGATTGAGAATGGGCCCTTGCTCTCTGGTCGCAATCTGCACCGAACACACGTTGGAACGACACACCGCACGCCCATGGGACCACGTCCGCCACCGACACGCCGCCCGTAATTCCATCTCGCATCTCCGCTCCGTCCACCGCTCCGCGACCACGCGCCCCCTCACGGCCTCGCCGCCTGCTTGCCTGACTGCCTGACGCTCGCACGCCCGCCGGACATGTGCGCCATCTGATGAGACACCTGCTCTCGAGAATATGAGCGGCCTGCATGCACAGAGACGACCCGACCGATCCAGCGAAGTGGCGCGCCAGTGCTGGAGACGGCGCTTTCATGACACCTCTCGTCACCGCCTACACCCACCTCGAGTCGCTACTGCTCTTTCAGGCCTTGCGATGTGAGGGCGTGCACCCCATCAGCTTCAACCGCATTTCGAGCCAGCTGCTCAGCGTGCCATTGGTGCGCAATGACCCTGCCTTCGATGCCGGTCGCTTGAGTCCCGACGCTCTGCGTGAGCTGTATCTGGGCCTACTCAAGGAAGAGGTGAAGCATGACTTGGGCCGCGACCATGATGAGGAGAACCACCTTTCGAACGGCGATGCGTCTCCCAGCAGTCGCAAGCGCAAAATCGCGAGTCCAGTGCTGCCCACGGTCCACGAGGCAGCACAGCATGCGCATCTGATTCCTCAACTCGTCACCCGGCTCTACGCGAGATACCGCGAGAATGCAGTGTCTAAAATCAAGGGCTACGAGACCAAATACGCCGAGAGCAAGCAGCACGTTGAGGACATTGAGGCTGGACTGTGGGACGAGCGGCTGCAGCGTGAGGAGAGTGCAAGACGTCTTCCAGAGCGTGCTGGCCCTCAGACCCAGAGCCCGAAGCCCTCGCCGAAGCCTTCATCCACTGCTCATACGCAGCCTGTGGTTGCACGCCCAGACATCGTTCGCACTCCATCTGCGACTGCCAGCCCGGTGATACCAAAGCAGCCCGAGGTTTCTTCCCAGGCAACCTCGAAACCATATGCTCAGGCCAAAATCGACGCCGTCATCAATCATGGACCTGAGCCACAGCATCGGAGGGCATCTTCCAACACAAAACTGCCACCGTTGTCTGAGATGGCACCTCAATCACCTCGCTTCGGTATCCCACCAAAAGTTACAGGTCAAATACCGCAGCAAGTGCAGGCTGTGCCTCATACCCATGCAGCGAATCACAATTATGTTCAAGGCCCTCCTAGTGGACATCATTCTCCTTATGGGCCCCCTCATACACATGGCCGCCAAGGATCTATGAGCAGCCCTCAGCTGCAACAATCCCTTTCCCGGCCCTCTTCGTCGCCTCGGCCAATACTCCCTCCTCCGCCGGGCATGGCATTACCGCCCCCATCTCCCGTTGGTCACACCGGCTCACCTGGGCAACATCAATATGCCGCACCCATACAACAACAGCAGCAGCAGCATTACCAGCAGCCACACAGACCTCCTCCAGGAGCTGCTCCAGCGCCGTATCAGAGCCCTATCCCTCCTCATGCGAATAATTACTACCAGCAGCAGCCACCTTATCAAGACCGGCGGCCTTCATATCAACCTCCGCATCCGCAAACGCCTACGTATGGACATCAAGCGCATGTGCAACCTCATCCTGGTCAGATGCATCAAGGAGCGTTTATGCAACCATTCCAAGTGGCTCCTCAAGATCCGTCCAGGCCAATGCACCACCAGCCCATCCGCCCTCAACCAGCGCCTCCAATCAACGCACCAAGCGCATCTACGTACGTTCCACACGCGCACGGAACGCCAGCGACTGCTCCACGGGTGGCACCGCATCTTAATCGCAGGGTCGAAGACGTACTCAGCATGCTTGCTACACCACCGAGGGGGAACACTCGGCCTAAGCCCAAGCCTTTGTGGAAGGAGGAATTCCAGCCCTCTCCCTTGCTGCCTTCTGCAGAGAAGCCTCGTCCCATCATTGAGCCACTCAGTCCAACACAGGAGCGAAGGTCACCAGCACGTGTCGCGCGTGGTGGTCGTGGGCGGGACGTGTCGTCTGTCGAGGATCGACTCCAAGCCGAGCCAGCATCGAAAAGTAGAATCAGCAAGCGAAAGGCCAACGCACGTGAGCGAAGTCCTGGAGGTCATAGTGTGGTCTCTTCGACCGCCGACGAATCGCTTCGCGCACGCACACGTAGTCACTCTGTCAGTACCGCCACTGGTGCTAATCCCCATTCCGATGATCGACCACCGAGCCGAAATGGTGTCAAATTGGAGCCATCTACACCTGCAGACACATCCGAGGATGCAGCAGCTCCTTCTGCTACCCCTGCATCTGGTCGGGTGACTCGCAAACGCCGTGGCACCCTGCAGAACCAGCAGCAACCACCATCAAAGCGCAAGCGCCAGCAGTCACCGAACAGAGGAGATGATGGAGAATCCTCCACCCCCGCGCCACGCAGCAATACGGTCATCGCGGTGCGCAATTTCAACAAGATGTCGTCGGCTGTAATGAACGACATTCTGAGTCACAAACATGCTGCCTACTTTGCTGGGCCCGTCCGAGATCGAGACGCACCTGGCTACAGTGACATAGTGCGGCAGCCGCAGAATCTGAAGACAATCAAAACCGCCATCACGGCCGGCACGCAGCTTGTAAAGGCGGCAACGTCCACTACGGATTCACCTTCTGAGGCTGCAAATGCAACATCAGCTACGGTGGAGTTAGAGCGCACCTCCGATACGACACCACCGAAAGTGATCGTCAATGGAGCACAACTTGAGAAAGAATTGATGCGCATGTTTGCCAATGCGTACATGTTCAATCCTGGCGAAGACGGTATGGCACTCTCTACGAAGGAGATGTTCTCGGACGTTGAACAAAAGATCTCGGAATGGCGAGGTACAGAACGTGCTGACGATGAAGATGAAACGAAGGGCAAGCGACGAAAATTGTAGCATATTAGTAGATCGTGCGCGTCGACTTGACGCTTGTAAGCAAATGAAATGGCGAGTATACTGCCAGCAAATAATCCTCTTGTGCTCACGTCGAGTCGTATAGTATTGACATGTGCATCTTGGCACTTTTGGAAGGGTTTTTGTAACTCGAGCTTGTGATGAACGCCGAGGCAGAAGCTGTGCTGGCCAAAAGATCCTGGCCACCAGCATTGTTCCTGCACTGTCTACAAAGCTGTGCGGGCAACCTCTTCACTCAATCCTGTCTGAGAGTGTCTCATGACTCTCTGTTCAAGAGCAGGGAGCGATCGATAACGTCACTCGTCTCGTGGCGTCCACGATCACAGGCTAAGGCCGCGGTAGCGTGCCGCGAGACAACCAGTGCATAACTCGCTCCTTCTTCACCATTGTACAAGACATAGTCATGCGTGCAAGTTTATCAACTCAATTCAGTCGCATATTTGCATTTCCTTGATCTTCGCTTTCCTTCTAGCAACGATGGCGTGGCCAAACCCATTCTACAGGACAACACCGAATACCAGAAAGTTAGTAATCTACATTATCACATGCCAAAGTGGCAAGACTCCTTCTGACATGAACATTTTTCACTGTACCACAGCGCATGGGGCTATAGATTCGAACTCGACTCCCAACATCTCACACCGGAACAATGCGAACCTCTCAAATTCTCCTACGATACCATTGCCGAAGAAGTTCTGGATCGATTGAATGCCATTTCGCCACCGGAGAAGAATCAATTGCCGAGGAATAATGGACAAGTTTCAGCTGTTGGGAGTACGAATACTACGGGAGAACTTCCCAGGGCAGAAGACGATAAGAAACAAGAATTGAAAGTCCCGCAAAGGGATCTTTATGCGATTTTGAAGGAGAATGCAGAGAAAGATGAATTGCTGGGGAAATTTTGGAAAGAGGTTAATGAAGTTCCTGAATGGGTCGATTGGGACCAAATTCAACGAGGTCAGGATGTGTTTTACAGGTATGGTGGAGCGTGTTTGACGGGTTTGGCATATCAGTCACTACTCGGTGGCATGGGAGCAGCTCGAGTCGTGGAAGTTTTGGCTCGGACGGGTGGTTTTTCGACGAAAGTTGCGAGAGGGAGACTTTTTGAGACGACGCAGCATATTCTGCAATGCACGAAATCGGTGGAGAGTATGCAGCCTGGTGGGGATGGGTTTGCGTCGACGATTCGTGTAAGGTTGCTGCATGCTGCTGTGAGACAGCGGATTATGAAGTTGAGGGCGACGAGGCCGGAGTATTATGATGTTGAGGCTTGGGGGGTGCCGATCAATGATTTGGATTGTTTGGCGACGATTGCGACGTTTTCGTCTTCGTTGATCTATTTGAGTCTGCCGAGGCAGGGGATCTATATTCGTCAGCGGGAAGCTGAGGACTATGTTGCTTTGTGGAGGTATATTGGCTACGTTATAGGTTGCCCGGCTGGACACTTCGAGACGACTGGACAGGCCAAGCGATTGATGGAGACACTACTCCTGAACGAGATACACCCTACTCACACATCGGCTGTGCTGGCAAACAATATTATCAAGAGTCTGGAAGGGCAGCCGCCAGGCTATGCTTCGGCGGACTTCCTCGTTGCGTCCGCTCGTTGGCTCAATGGGAATGAGCTCTGTGATGAGCTGGGATTGCCGCGTCCATCACCATATTACTGGGCATTGATGACAGGGCAATGTCTCTTCTTCGTCTTCTTCTGCTACACTTATCGAATGATACCTTATCTCGACCGGCGGAAGATCGAAACGCTGAAGCAGGTTTTCTGGGCTGTGATTGTACACAGCAAGTACGGACTGCAGGAGGAAACCAGGTTTGCATTCAAATACGTCCCTGAGTACGAGACGATCACGCACATGGGCGAATGCGAGGAGGCCAAGGCGACGTACTCTCACGTCGAGAGTCGTAACTTGAAAACCTTCGTGATCGGCGTGGGCGTGCTGGGAGTGGGAGCATACGTCGGGGTCAAGATAGTGAGCGCACTGGCGAGTCGTGTCCTGTGGTAGCATCTGGTTGTTATAGCTAGCTCGGTCAGCGGCTGCAGCTGCAGACATTAGCGTGGGCATCGTGGCAGGAGACTCGGCATGCCGCTGTGCCTGCCGAATACATGTGTTTATCGCCATTCCGTACGGCGCCGTCAATGTGAGCAGTGCGCCGGTGCACAGTCGGGGAGCTGCCTGGTCGCGGAGCATGCTTTGCTGGGATGAGCCTGGCGAGCAGCTCTTGCATCTTTGGCCGGACCAGTGGCCAGTGGCTGCCCTATTCTCTCGAATGATCGGCGTGCATGCACAGAGGAAGCGCCACGGCGAATCAAGCCATTGTGGAAGCAGCGCCGCCGTGCCGGACGCATTGCATTTGTGGGAGCTGAGGCGCCGTCCTGACCACCGCGACCTCGTCTTCAGCCTTCTGCACGCAGCGTCCAGCGACGAGTCCACCGCGCGCACTCACACCACGACCGGCGGCGGGGACGAACTCTTCTGCGCAGCGTGCATCCGGGGCGGCCATGTGGCAGACGATCCGCACGAGCGAACGTCGACGTCGTCACACAGCAGCAATTGTCGCACAAGGCTAGGCGGCGCGCGGTGGTGCTTGCATCATGCCTCCCAGCG